ACACACACACACACACACACACACACACACACACACACACACACACACACACACACACACACACACACACACACACACACACACAGAAGAGTAGAATATATATATACTTCTTTCAGAAATAAAGCATTTTTATTTTTGACGCGTTAATCTTCAAATGAAATTGCACAGCGTTAAATAAAGATAAATTACTTCCAAGAATATATGTTTTACATAAGAAAAATCTGTGTTCTTGTATTATATAAAAATAATTTTCATAAATGAAAAGCGCAAAATATTGCATTGTACACAAATATTACATGATGTGTTACGCGCCCCCCCGGTTCCCATATCCACTTAAACTAATATATTCAAATTAACAATTATTTTATCATATATAAATATCATTTTAATTGATTTTAATTTAAATAATTAATTGTTTAAATTGAGTATAAAATATCTTGATATGCAAATGTAACTTGATATAACTTATCTTCATTTAACGCTACGTAATCTCATCTGAGGATTAACATGTTAAAAAGATATTTTTTAAACAAGAATGTCTTTCTATGTAACTATAATCGCGTGATGGAAGCTTTACAATTCTTTTAACATTGATGAAAGAAATATTGGTAATTATGCATATTAAGGGACACCTCGCCGATGACCTTGACCTTCACATATGTTGTTAAGGACATGTCCCTGAGTAACATTTATAAAGTTTTAGATCTCTCTTTATTAAAAAGTTATGAACAAAAGAAGTTGACTATTTGGGCTGTAGTTTTCTGATTGTATCTATGTATATATTATATATAGACATCTTACTAACAATAAGTGCACAAAGTACACGTGTATTAAGTAATACAATGTTATATGCAATAAAAAGAAACGTGACACTTGAATATATTAAGATGTTAACTATGTAATAACATGAGGATGCTACAATTGACATGTAGTGTTGGATAATTATATCACATTTACAAAATACTTCCATATTCGGTGTATATGGATATATGGTGAACAGTATACGTATATGCGCGGGGGAGGGGCTCCGCCTAACTTATCTAATGCAATATTCTAAACCGTACATGATGGGTTTGGTTAGGATTATATGGAGGTTAGTTTTTTATGGAGGAGGTGCAGGGAGTGGGGCGGAGCCTCCCCCTCCCCCGCGCATACACGTGTACTTTGTGCATGTAGTAAGATGTCTGTATATAATATATACATACATACAATCGGAAAACTACAGCCAAATAGTTAACTTCTTTTGTTCATAATTTTTTAATAGAGACCGCCACCTAAAACCTTCAGAACGTTACTCAGGAGAATTACCTTTATCACATATGTCAAGGTCATCGGCGAGGTTTCCCTTAATATGCATAATTACCGAAATATTTTATTGAATCAATCATTAAACCTATATATAATAATGTAAATTTTTTATCTTATTGATGCAGCAACAAATTTGCTAAAAGTTGCACTCAAATTTTTCATATTTTATATGATATATTGTTAAATAAATTTTTATGTAAATAAATTTTGAGATAATCTTTTCTTTTCTTTCTTTCTACATTTTTTCGACATCTTTACTTTAATATTTATATATTTTCAATACCTTTTAATATGTTTTTCGTATTATTGTAACTTCCTGCTTCATCATTGTACTAACATCATTGCTACATCATTGTGCTAAATATAATGAAGTAATATTATAGTCACGAGAATCATTGTTTCTTATGTTACGTGTATAATGATAGTGATAATATCTTTATAATATATATTACTACTACTTTTTTGTTAAAAAAGGTATAATTAGCGCCGAGAATAATTATGATGTTAGTAACTCTAACCATTCTTTTCTCTCGAAGTGTACGAAGCGAATTTAATAGAGGAGGTGAGTATCAATATTGCGAAAAACTCGTAACCAATTCGGAGATATATAACAGAAAATATTACAACTCGCTCCTTTATTGCTCGTGCAAGACGATTTTCAGATTCCCGGCGCACATTTCGCGTTTATCGGAAATCGTTCATCATCCGGCTCTACATCCCGGCTCTGGTCCAAGTGCTTCGGAAAATTCAGAGACGAACGCGCGACTCACACGTTCGCATTATCGCTTTAATCTAATTTTAACGATAGCGCGTATCTAGCACGCGGAATCTCGCATGGTGCACAGAATGTCACGAGTGTTTCCTGGCGCGACGTAACGCGACCCAGTCGAAAAATTAATAAATAAGTGCAAAAAATTGCAATACGTTTAATTATAAAATGTTGTGATACAATTGCAAGCATTAGTCGAATAGAGAGATGTACGTAAATTTGGTCGTAATTTTATTGGTGAAATTTGCAAAGATTGCGTTCCTCACGAATGGTTCATACGGCACTCATATTTATCGCATTGAATATCGAAATAGAAGTGAAAAAAATTTGCTCCAAAAATACATCATGTAAAATCTAGAAATATGAGTAAATATATCGCTGAAACCAATGGAACAAAAAATTCACATTGTTGTACAGAAAAAAATGAGAGTATCCATTTAAAACTAATATACTTAAATTGACAATCATTTTTTCATAAATAAAAAACGATACAGTAATCAAAATTATTTAACAAATTAAAAG